CCAAACACCTACCATCACTCACCTACAACCAAACACTCACCTACCACCACTCACCTACCACCACTCACCTACCACCAAACAACTACCACCACTCACCTACCACCACTCACCTACCACCAAATACTCACCTACCACCACTCACCTACCACCACTCACCTACCACCACTCACCTACCACCAAACAACTACCACCACTCACCTACCACCACTCACCTACCACCACTCACCTACCACCAAATACTCACCTACCACCACTCACCTACCACCACTAACCTACCACCACTCACCTACCACCACTCACCTACCACCAAATGCTCACCTACCACCACTCACCTACCACCACTCACCTACCACCAAATACTCACCTATCACCACTCACCTACCACCTACCACCACTCACCTACCACCACTCACCTACCACCTACCACCACTCACCTACCACCAAATACTCACCTACCACCACTCACCTACCACCAAACAGTCACCTACCACCTACCACCAAACACTCACCTACCACCAAACACTCACCTACCACCTACCACCAAACACTCACCTACCACCAAACACCTACCTACCATCCACCTACCACCTACTACCTACCACCCACCTACCACCTACCTATCACCTACCACCCAACAAAGACCGAGGCACAACGCGACCACCACCCCCAGAAGTGGCTTCTGACATCACCACCGACTCGCCTCGCATCCCTGCAAATCGTGTTCACTCTCGTGTGAGTCGTCTGTGTGAGTCGTCTATGTGTGTCGCCTGTGTGAGTCGTCTGTGTGAGTCGTCAGTGTGAGTCGTCTGTGTGAGTCGTCTGTGTGAGTCGTCTGTGTGAGTCGCCTGTGTGAGTCGTTTGTGTGAGTCGTCTGTGTGAGTCGTCTTTGTGAGTCGTCTGTGTGAGTCGTCTATGTGTGTCGCCTGTGTGAGTCGTCTGTTTCGCCTGTGTGAGTCGCCTGTGTGAGTCGTCTGTGTAAGTCGTCTGTGTGAGTCGTCTGTTTCGCCTGTGTGAGTCGTCTATGTGTGTCGCCTGTGTGAGTCGTCTGTGTGAGTCGTCTGTGTGAGTCGTCTGTGTGTGTCGCCTGTGTGAGTCGTCTGTGTGAGTCGTCTGTGTGAGTCGTCTGTGTGAGTCGTCTGTGTGAGTCGTCTATGTGTGTCGCCTGTGTGAGTCGTCTGTGTGAGTCGTCTGTGTGAGTCGTCTGTGTGTGTCGCCTGTGTGAGTCGTCTGTGTGAGTCGTCTGTGTGTGTCGTCTGTGTCGTCTGTGTGAGTCGTCTGTGTGTGTCGTCTGTGTGAGTCGTCTGTGTGAGTTGGGAGCGGTGGGACAGCGGTCAGGGCACTGCGCTGCGAACCGGACTACACGAGTTCCATTTCGGCTCACGGCAGTGACGCCGCTGAAGATTATCTCTGAAGCAGTCCCGGGGCCTGCCCTAGGTCGACTCAGCCTTAAACGAGTTCCCAATGCGGTGTGTAAACCTTTACTGGTGCCCCAGCAGTCTGTGCAGGCTACACGGGGGGATATTTGTGCGAGTCTGCGTGTCCGTGTGTTGTGTCTCAACGTGTGTGTGTATATATATACGTATTTATATTTATGTGCATGCGTGTGTATTGTGTTTGTGTGTGTACGTTTGGGGAGCGGTGGTGCAGTGGTTTGCGCACCGTGCGACGAACCGCCTTGAACCTGAATTCAGGTTCACAATGAATTCAGGTTCACCGTCAACATCAGTGGCCAATATTAGAATCCGTGCTGGGCCTCCCCTAGCTCGACTCAGCCTCAAACGAGTACCTGGGGAGACAAAGGCGGCCGGGCGTGGTGCTGGCCACCCACCCCCTCGTGCGCCGTGCCCGCCTTCATAGGTGCTGCTCGCTAACGGCGCTTGCCCCAACAGTCTGTTAAGGCTATACGGGGGATCTTTGTCTTTGTATAAATATGTGTGTTTTATTTATTTATTTATGCGTGCATATTGTGTGTGCGTGTCCGTGTTTATTCATGTCGTGTGCGTGATTGTCAAGTGTTTGCGTGTCTGTGTGTATCGACGTGCATACATCGTGCGTGTGATTACGTATATGTGTGTTTGTGTGTATATATATACACACATATGTTGTGTGTATACATGTACACACATGTTGTGTGTATATGGAGGGATCAGTAGTATACCAATACAGCGACCGGAGTTCGATTGGCGCTCACGTCCAACACCAATGATGATTCTCTGAACCGGTCCCGGGCCTCACCGAGGTCGACTCAGCCTCAAATGAGTGTAGCCACGTGTGATGTGTAAGCGCCGTCGCTCGGGAGACAAAGGCGGCCGGTCGTGGCGCTGACCACTCACCGCCTCGTGTGCCGTGCCGGCCTTCATAGGTGCTGCTACTCGCTAACAGCAGCACTTACCCCAACAGCTTGTTAAGGCTACACGGAGGGTCTTTGTCTATGTCGTGTGTGCGGGTATGACCTTCATTGTGAACACGTGCGTATATATGTATACGTTTGTGTGCGCGTATGCGTGTGTATCGCGCGCGTGTGTGTGCGAGTGTGTGATTCTTTGTATCTCCGTGTGTATGCATTTGTGAATGCGCGGTTTTTTATGCTAAGCGCTCGTTTGTGTGTGTGTGCGAGGAGCGGTGGCGCAGCGGTTAGCGCACTGCGCTTACGACCTCAGTAGACCCGAGTTCGATTCTCGATCACGCCCGACCGATATAAAAATTCGGCAGCGACTGTCCGAATCTCTCTCTCTCTCTCAATTTCGTTACCTCCCCTAGGTCGACTCAGCCTCAAAATTAGTAGGTTACTCACTGCTCTGTCTACCCTAAACGTTGGCGCTAGAGGTGGGGGGGGGGAGGGAGAGACATACAATGACGGGCGCGCGTTACCGATTCTACTTGTTTTTGCATACACACATTTCAATTGCCCAAGTCATTTACAAACCTCCACCTTTGTATCACCACCACCACCACCCCCCCCCCCCCCCCCACTCGGCAGCCAATCGCCAACGCTCCGTGTGGCTCCTCTCTATCCCGCGCGCGGGGCGTCGGATGCAGCCACAAGGCGCCCCACGGCAAAGTCGAACTGGAACTCGCGATTGGCCGACGGACGGCGCAGTCGTTTGCTTGTTTGTTGTTTGTGTGTTGTTTGTGTGTTGTTTGTTGTTTGTGTGTTGTTTGTGTGTTGTTTGGTTGTTGTTTGGTTCGTCTTCAGTGGCCGAGCGCAACGGCATTCATAATTGGCGAGCCGTTTTACGCATGGCGAGCGTTCCACGGTCGTTTTAGAGCGCGTGAACGGATCATTTGCAAGGCGAAAGAAGCGATACGAGATTGGTTTCAAACTCGGTTTAACACCTCGGTGATCATTTTTAGACCGGGGTTCAGCTGGGTCTAACCGGTTAATATCGGTTTTTCGCACGTGCAATTACCGGTCTAGAGCGTTCCAACCGTTCATTTACATGAAGTTCCGCCCGGCATCGGCTCGCGGTTCGCGATATTTATTAGGCACGCGGTTTTTATGTTGTAAATTGTGAAAACGGATTAAGGGTTACAGTTTTAGCAGGCGTAGTTGCACCACGCGCGTGTGTTAGGTGGACGTCTCGGTTTCGAACGAGTACTAGGAGCGGTGTAGTAAAACATCGCCAGGGGAGAGACAAAGGCGGCCCGGCGTGGTGCTGGCCACCCACCCCCTCGTGCGCCGTGCCGCCCTTCACAGGTGCTACTCACGAACAGCACTTGCCCCAACAGTCTGTTAAGGCTACACGGGCGATCTTTGTGCGAGTGTGTGTACGTACGCCCGTGTGCGTTTTGTGCCGTCTATATTATTAGTCATATTTCACACGATATTATACAACACATTTTCATTGATATTTATAGACACTATATCGAGAGGGGTGGAGAGAGAGAGAGTCGGCGAGGTTGATGGATCAATTGTACGTGGAGCATAGCTCTATCGCAACGCGTAATGAGTTTGTGTACCATATTACTTATTGATGAGCGAGAAGAGTGGGGGGAGGGGGGCTAGTGGAGAAGGGGGGTTAAGGTGGGGAAGGAGCTCGCGAGCAAAGCAGAGAGCGTTTGGAGCGAGCGAGGAGAAGAGACGATGAGGAGGGAGTGTGATGAGTGGGTTTGGTTTGAAATGAAGAGGGTGGGGAGGTAGGGGGGGGAGGGAGGGAACCGAGGGGGGGGGAGAGATGGAGGGGGGGGGGGGCATCTCGCTGCGACTCATCCAATAGCGGCTCCTCCAGCGCGCCGCTTCTTCAAACAATGGATGATTTAGCGACCCCGTCCAATCGCGCTCGGCTGCCTCGTGCCCCACGTCACGCGACTGGGTGGTGGGCGAAGCAAAGCGGAGCAGGCGGAGCCCACTGACGAGGAGGAGCAGAGGAGGAGGAGGAGGAAGAGGGTTGGGGTAGTGAGGTAGAGGTGGTGGGGTGGGTGATGGTGGTGGTGGTGGGGGGGGGGAGGCTTGTGGATGTCCCGCACGCAGCCTCAATTCATTTATCTGCGGGAGTCTGGGAGGGGTCTCTGCCATAATCACCGCGAGTCGCCGCTGCCGCTTGCTGAGTCCGAAACGGCGCCTGTGCTGCGCTGCGTGACAACACCACGCAATTTTGCTCGCGGTGGAGGCGAGCGAGAGAGAGGGGGGGGGGGTGGGGTGGTGGTAGGGCCGTTGTCCTCCCGACTCATTATTATTTTTTTGTTACAATCCAGCGGGTGGGTGGCGTGCGGTGTCCGTGCGGTGCGGTGCGTGGTGGGGGGGTAAGGCGATGGCTGTGCGTGCGTGAGAGCGGTTTCGTGAGCGAGGCTACTGCGTGAGAGACCCCCCCCCCCACTCACCCACCACGTCGCGTGGTGGTGGTGGTGGATTTGATTGTTTTGTGTTCTATCGCGAGACCCGAAAAGTTTATCCGCGGGTTCTGTTTTTTTTTTAAAGTTATAAAAATACAATTTAGTTGGTGGTGGTGGTGGTGGGGGGGGAGTAATTTTTTTGGAAAGAGACGAGGGTGGGGGGGGGGGGGGTGTTGGGGTTTCGTGTTTTTGGTTCGGTTTTCGTTCGCTCGCTCGCTGCTGCTGCTGCTGCGTTCGAGCAAACGACGAGACGAGTCGTCGAGTGAAAGTAAAAAAAAAACTGCGGCTTTTTTTTCGTTTATCTGAAGGATAAATCGCCACTAGAGAGAGAGAGCGAGCGAGCGAGCGAGCGCGCAGGGCGAGTGGTGTTCTTAAGGCGGGCGGGCGGGGGGGGAGAGTTTCAGCGAGCGAGATTTTAGCGACCTCCCGCCTCCAGTTGTTGAACACACTTCATTTGTTCATCGTTCTTCCGGACTTGTCGTTCTCAACAACAACAACAAACAACAAACAACGACGACGACGACGAAAAACCGAACGAGAGCAAGCGCCGCAACAAACAGAGACTCGAACATTCATCCACGGGCTTCAGAGTCTCGCGCGCGAGTGCAAGAACAGAGCGAGAGGCCGACACACACACAGAGAGAGAGAGAGAGAGCTAAGAGAGTGGAAGAGAGAGAGTGGGGAAGAGAGAGAGAGAGAGAGCGCCACACGCAATCTCGCAGCGAGCGAACGATCGAGAGAGAGCGAAGAGAGAGAGAGAGAGAGGAAGAGAGAGCGCGCTCGCTCGCGCAGCATCGCCGATGGCCATGTTGCTGGAGAGCGGAGCGCAGTACCCGTCCCCGCTCAGCGGGTATCCACCCCCTACCGCGCGACTCCAGGCAGGGGGCGACGGAGGCGGCGGCGGGGACCGCGGCGACTGCGGCGCAGGAATGGGACTCGGGGGCGTCTTCGGGGACCCCCATCACCACCATCACCACCATCACCTGGGCGCCGCCTTCAAGCTGGGGTCGTCGTCTGCGTCGTCGTCTGCGGCGTCGCACCACCACCACCACCATTCCCATCACGACATCGCAGCCGCGGCAGCCGCGGCCGCGGCTGCGGCTACGGGGAACGGCGTCGGAGGGAGCGGAGTAGGAGGAGGAGTAGGAGGAGGTGGTGGTGGAGTTGTTGGTGGTGGTGGAGGATCGCAGGGTGCCTTCTCGTCGCAGTCCACGGGCGCCTACGCGCACCCCTCCGGCACGCCGCTGGGCGGGCACGGCTCCCCGCACGTGGGGTCCTACGGAGCCGCGGCCGCGGCGGCGGTGGCGTTCAACTCGACGCGGGACTTTCTGTTCCGCAACCGCGGCCTGGGAGACGTCGCCGCCGCCGCCGCCGCGGCCGCCGCCGCCGCCGCCGCTGCCGGCGCAGCGTCCCAGCACGGGGGCAGCATCCTACAGGCGTCCATCGGCGGCGGCGGTGGTGGTGGTGGTGGCGGCGGTGGTGGTGGTGGTGGTGGCCTCAACCCGCACAGCAGTCACCATCACCCGCCGCCGTACGCTCACCACCACCCTCACCACCACGGCCACGCGGACGTCGGAGGGGGTGGAGGAGGAGGTGGTGTTGGTGGTGTTGGTGGTGGTGGTGGAGGAGCTGGGGGTGGTGGCATCATCTTTCCGGGACTTCACGATCAATCGGCGGCCGTGGCGGCTGCGGCAGCTGCCGGACAAATGCGGCTGAGCATCCCGGGAGGGGAGCTGTACGTGCGGCCGGAACCTCACCACCAGTACCCTCACCACCACGCTCACCACCACGCTCACCACCACCCTCACCACGCTCACCATCACCAGATCGGCGCGGCGAGCCCGCGCTCCGACGCGTACGGAGCCGTGGCGGCGAGCGCGTTGCACCCGCACCACCACCACCCGCACCACCACCACCCGCACCACCACCATCCGCACCACCACCCGCACCACCACCCGCACCACCACGGCTACGGGCCGCTCAACATGATGGCCCACCACGCGGGCGCAGGGGCCTTCTTCCGATACATGCGGCAGCCCATCAAGGAAGAGCTCGTGTGCAAGTGGATTGAACCGGAGCCCGGAGGAGGTGGTGGTTGTGGCGTGGGCGGGCAGCCAGCGAAGCCTTGCTCCAAGACGTTCAGCACCATGCACGAGCTGGTGACCCACGTGAGCGTGGAGCACATTGGAGGGCCCGAGGCGGCCCACCACGTGTGTCACTGGGACGAGTGTCCCCGCGAGGGGAAGCCCTTCAAGGCCAAGTACAAGCTGGTGAACCACATCAGGGTGCACACGGGCGAGAAGCCCTTCCCGTGCCCCTTCCCCGCCTGCGGCAAGGTGTTCGCTCGCTCCGAGAACCTCAAGATACACAAGAGGACGCACACAGGTGAGAGACGGGTGGGTGGCTGAGTGAACGAGTGGGTCGGTGGGTGAACGAGTGGGTGGGTGAGTGAGTGAACGAGTGGGTGAACGAGTGGGTAAGTGGGTGGGTGGGTGAGTGGGTGAGTGAGTGAGTGAACGAGTGGATCGGTGAGTGAGTGAACGATTGGGTGAGTGAGTGCACGAGTGGGTCGGTGAGTGAGTGAACGAGTGGGTTGGTGAGTGAGTGAACGAGTGGGTGGGTGAGTGAGTGAACGAGTGGGTGGGTGAGTGAGTGAACGAGTGGATCGGTGAGTGAGTAAACGAATGGGTCGGTGAGTGAGTGAACGAGTGGGTGGGTGAGTGAGTGAACGAGTGGGTGGGTGAGTGAGTGAACGAGTGGGTGAACGAGTGGGTAAGTGGGTGGGTGGGTGGGTGAGTGGGTGAGTGAGTGAGTGAACGAGTGGATCGGTGAGTGAGTGAACGATTGGGTGAGTGAGTGCACGAGTGGGTCGGTGAGTGAGTGAACGAGTGGGTTGGTGAGTGAGTGAACGAGTGGGTGGGTGAGTGAGTGAACGAGTGGGTGGGTGAGTGAGTGAACGAGTGGGTGGGTGAGTGAGTGAACGAGTGGGTGGGTGAGTGAGTGAACGAGTGGGTGGGTGAGTGAGTGAACGAGTGGGTCGGTGAGTGAGTGAACGAGTGGGTCGGTGAGTGAGTGAACGAGTGGGTGGGTGAGTGAGTGAACGAGTGGGTGGGTGAGTGAGTGAACGAGTGGGTGGGTGAGTGAGTGAACGAGTTTGCGAGTGAGTGAGTGAACGAGTGGGCGTGTGAGTGAGTGAACGAGTGGGTGGGTGAGTGAGTGAACGAGTCGGTGGGTGAGTGAGTGAACGTTGGTGGATGGGTGAGTGAGTGAACGAATGTCTTCGTGAGTTGGTGATTGGGCGGGTGAGGAGTGGGTGAGTGAATTGGTGAGCGGGCGGGTGAAGAGTGAGTGGGTGGGTGAGTGAGTGAGTGAGTTGGTGATTGGGCGGGTGAGGAGTGGGTGAGTGAGTGGGTGAGTGAGTGAGTGAGTTGGTGAGCGGGCGGGTGAAGAGTGGGCGGTCTTCGCTCGCTCCGAGAACCTCCACATCCACCAGCGGACTCGCACGGGTGAAGGAGCGGGGGGCGGGGCTGGCGGTGCGAGTGGGGGGGGGTCGTGAGGTTTGTTGTGGGTGGAGAGGGGGGGCTGGGAAAGGTGTGGGGGGGGGGAGACTACATTTTGTAGAGGGTAGGGGTCTAAGTCCAGCGACCCCCACCCCAACAGTAACCAACCTCGCGTGCTATGCAGGAGCCCCCCCCCCCCAACCCGAAACGTCGCCGGTGGTAACGTTCGCGTCGTCTTCGGCCGCAGAGCTATTGACGACTGCGATTCGCGGAGTTGGATAGCAAAGCAGTGGATAGAACACGGTTTCTGACCGTCGTGGGGGTGATGATGATCAGAGGCGAGGACGGGTTTGTGAGATTGGGGGGCTGGGTGATGGTGGTGGTGGGGGGGGGGGGGGGTGAGATTGATTAACTATTTTAGGGGGGTGTAAAATTCACGGGGAAGGGGGTAGCAATGGTACAGCAGTGGATACACCACTGTTTACTGTGATGAGGAACGTTCATATATACACAACCGTGTGTATACATGTACGTAGGTGTATACTAGTGAGACAAAGGCGGTCGGGCGTGGTGCTGGTCACCACTCACTCGTGTACCGCTCCGGCCATCATAAGTGCTCGCTAACAGCACTTGCCCCTACAGTCTGTTAAAGCTATACGGGGGATCTTTGTTTTTTTGTAGGTGTACATATATAAACACACAAACGTGTAATGTATGCGCTTGCAAAAGTCGTGAATTGGCATCGTATCAGATGTACAGATATCAGATGATGTACAGATAATATCAGATAATGCATCGATATCAGATGTACAAACACCAGGCAATGAAACATTCGGCTAAGGCTATGGACACCATCTCGCCGCGTTACGATATCGGTGGAGGAGCGGTGGCGCAGTGGTTAGGGCACCACGGCAGTGTGACCCTGTAGCGAGCCGACACGATATATAATAATAATATTAATACCATCTGAACTCTTCCCATCTCCGCGTCGACCACTGTGGTGAAGTATGGTCAGATTAATCGCTCCTCGCCTTTAATCGACACAGAGCGTGAAAGCCCCTAATAGAGGCAGAACGGAATTAAAATGTAATGCATTAGAGCCTAAAATTAAATTAAAGATGCGCGTTCATTGCATTATACCGCGACGGTTTGAAGCGGCAATGGGGGGGGGGCATCATCCAGCGGTAGATTGACTATGGCAGACGACGACGAGGATGATGAAATTTTCGCCGTGTACTCGAACCTCTGGGCGTCTTCTTGGCGACCCTCGTCAACGAGAAATCCCGCGTCCAATCTGAGGATATGGGTAAGAGATTGGGTCAGCGAGTGAATTAATAGCGAGTGAATTGATGCGCGAGTGAATGGGTGAGCGAGCGAGTGAATGGGTGTGCGAGCGAGTGAATGGGTGAGCGAGAGTGAATGATTGAATCATTGAACGAATGAGCGATTACTTTTGGTTCGACACATCATTCCTAACCCTCGTGGGTTTGCGAACACCACGCGCTCGCCGGTGTGATGTTTTGTGTGAACGAGTTCAATGAGTGAGTGAGTGAATGCGTGAGTGAGTGAATGCGTGAGTGAGTGAATGCGTGAGTGAGTGAATGCGTGAGTAAGTGAACGAGCTGTTCAGGTGTGTACGCGTGTGAGTTATTGACCGAATCGATGCGTGAGTGAATTGGATGTTAAGCAATGCACGTGTGTGAAAGAGGGTCTTAATTAAATTAACGAATGGGTTCATTAGTGAGTGGATGCTTTGGTGAGTGAGTGAATTAGCGAGTGAATGAATGAACGAGTTGATAAGTGAGTGGGTGACGTGAGCGAGCGAGTTGACCGTGTGAATCGGTGAGCGACTGAGTGAATGAATAAGTGGGTGAATACATGCGTGAATGAACGAGATGAATTCATTCGTGTGTGAATGAGAGCGTGAACGAGAGTGGCTCTCGTTCAGGGCGGACTCGGGGAGAGAGAGACGGGATATAACGTTCCTCGGACGTTCAGAGTTGCTATTTGGGGGGGTTGGGGGGGGGAGGACCCTCTCTGTCGAGTATTCCCAAACCTCAACATCCCAGCTGAACTTGATCTTTCTCGCTGTGGTCGCCAGGCGAATCGATGAGAAACGTGAAACCTGTGAACAACCCCAAAGTGGTGGAATTCAACTTCCATTTGGCCGCGTAATCCGGCAGCGTTGTTGTTGTTGTCGTCACTGTTATTGTTGGTGGCAGTTGTGGTTTGTGCCACGTGAGTTAACGACGCTATCGAATGACATTATCGGTCGCCGCCTTTAAGGCTATTTTTTGGGGGGATTGGTACAGAAAGTATCGTACAAAGTTGCACGGGATTTCCCGAAATATACAGCATGAATATATATTTACAGTTTGTGTGTGTGTACGTGTGTACGTACAAAGGTGCTCGCGAGCAGCACTCGCCTCTACAGTTTGTTAAGGCTATACGGGGGATCTTTGCATTTTTTTACGTAAATATATGGGGAGCGGTGGTGCAGCGGTTAGCACGCCGCGCTACGAACATGGCGACCCCGAGTTCGATTCCCCCTCACGGCCACCATCAACGGTAACGATTATCTGAACCGGTCCTGGGCCCTCCCCTAGGTCGACTCGGCCTCAAATGAGTTACCTGGTGCGGTGGGTAGTAAACATCGTCACCGGGGAGACAAAGGCGGCCGGGCATGCCGCTGGCCACCATCAGCACGCCGTGCCGGCCTTCATAGGTGCTACTCGCTAACAGCACTTGCCCCAACAGTCTGTTAAGGCTATACGGGGGGATCTTTGTGTGCTTTTTCAAATTATCTTACACATCCTAAACCAAATGTAGAGTTATATTCGCGTGAAAGACAACATTGTATCACGTGCGTTCTTGTTACGGCGTTTATGATGATATCACGTGCTATCAAGAGAGTGATATATTGCCCGAAACGTCGCCGATCATATATATGTTTTATTTGATTGTTTTTAAGGACACAGTGTTGTGTTGTTGCGGAATGTGTTGTGGCGGATGGGGAGGTGGGTGTCTGGGGGAGGAAGGGAGGAGGGGAGAGCTTCATCCATCAGTGGATTGACCATGGCTACCACGACTACTGCCGCTACTGGTGATGGTGGTGATGATGATGATGAAGAAGAAGAAGATGGTGATGATTCCGTGTACTCCACGTGGACAGAATGTGGTTCAAATGTCCACCCGCTACGTCGCAATAGCAGTCAGCGTCCTCGTGTACACGAATCGACGCACATAACAAAGACAAAGATCCCCCGTATAGCCCCAACTGATTTGTTTGCGGGGGGAAAGTGGTGCTAGCGAGTAGCACCAAATGACGGCCTGGCACGGCACACGAGGGGGTGGCTGGCCAGCACCACCCCCGGCCGCCTTTGTCTCCCCTCCCCCCCCCCCAGTGACCATGTTTATACACACCGCACGAGGTAACTCATTTTGAGGTTCAGTCGACCTAGGGGAGGTCCAGGACCGCTTTAGATAATCGTCAGCGGTGCTGGTGGCCGTGAGCGGGAATCGAACGCACAGTAAAGCACGCACACACACACGGGGCACATACGAACACAATTCAGATTGTGTTATTTTTTTCAGGTGGGTGGAGTGGTTGGTTTTGTGAACACGTGCACGAGTCGCAGCAGCCGTAGTAGTCGGCGTCAAATAAGTTCGCGTGATTAATAATAATAATGGAATTAACAAATGAGACGAATTCTTGATGTAGTTACAGGGGAGCGCTAACTTTAATCACAACTGCTGAACACTCGAAACGTCGCTATGTTGGCACGAGACGCGAGGAGGAGGAGGAGGAAGAACGTGGAAACAACAATTCACGAAAATGCGCAGTGGACAATTCCGGGGCAATCTGCACCATGGATCGTGGTAATG